CAGCCACTGCGGGACATGAACCTACTGTCTTTGCTAGGTCGATTTCGCGACAAACACTGCGCTGTGCCAAGAGATCGCGTTTTCTCTCTACTCGCAATGTGTCATCCAGAGGAACAGATACAAGTCGATTACGGGAGCCCATGGACGGATATATTCGCGCAAATACTCGCGAAAACCAGACACATCCCGTGCATCTGTTCGGCTGCGCTTTTGGCGAGGAGTCTTACGCCGCCTAGTCGTGCAAAATCTGATGATGCAATCCCTTCCGCCGAACCAATGCTCACGTTCGAAATCGAAGACGTGTTTCTACACGATACCAGTCTTTTGTGGCAGAGATACCTTGAACCTAGTGGTACGGTTCCTTTTAATGATGAGCGTGTAGAAGCGGAACTGAAACACCACAAACTAGGTCACAGGGCTTGTCTGTGGCATCTGTTGGAGATTCTGCGCTTTGCCAATCGCGACCCAGCCAATCCATTGTTTCTTTCTACCCAAAGTTCATCGCACGCGCCTCTCGAATACCAAATTCCTTTGCAGGACTTGTTACGCGACTTGCCTGAGTATACATCAAATTTGTCGGACGTTGAAAAGCCGCTGGGTTTTGTCGAGTTATTCCGCGTCTTCCTGAGATCAAGATCTAAAAGAGATCACTATCATCGATTCCGACGAATGGGTACTACGTTGCGTTTGTTCAACGTTTCACCTGGATGGTATCTGAGCGAACCGGACGACATGATTGAGACTGTGACGGTGCATGTCTCGTTAAGTGCCTTGGGTAAAGCATCAGAAGGTATAGCGCTGTGCGGATGGCAGGGTGAGAAGGAATCCCTGACAAGAGACGATAGGTTGTTCAGACAATTCAGTTTATACTATCCATCAGAAGATCGAGAAGGGGAACATACCTGATATAGGCTATAAAACATCACGTTCGCTAAAGATTTTGCTCTAGTGCAGACGGTTGGTTTCAGGAGGGTATGTATATCTGGGCTGGTTGGTAGCTGTGTTTTGAGGCAGCTAGTATGTATCCGCAGCGTTTCTGTTTATTAACTTGTAGACCTCGCATTTCCCTAGAATTGTAGCGCACGGAAAACAGTTCATAAGTTATGACGGCGTGGTTGTTTCATGCAGCGTAATGGTGGATAGTACACCTAGAAGAATCCCAAACTTTCCCAACATGGAAAACACTTAGCTAATGTTCCCCACTTCAGAGCCTCGCCTTCTCAGCTCTCGAAGCTGGATGCCTCTCGTCAATTCTCGGCAGCTTATCACTCCACGTCCTCCCATTCCGCATAAACACCCTCCTCCAATCCGTCGGATTCAGTGGCGCCTGATCCCACCTCCTGCCCCTCTTTGCGCTGACCTTCGCTCGCTTCTCTTCCGCAATACCACTAGCAGCAGCGACCTTCTTGCCCCTCTCCGCACCAAAGTTGCTGGGAATTGCTTGACTGAACTCCTTCGCACTGACTTCCAGCAGCGCCTCGGTATCAGCTTTGATCCGGTCTGCAAGAAGACGGATAGATGACTCAGCGCAGTGAGCGGCGGCGCGGCGTTGCCAGTATTCTAGGAAACGATATCCATGGCCGATCATACCGCACATTGCGCCTGCTGAATGGAGGAAATGGCCGTTGCCGAAGGAATCACCTACCACGACTCCGTTTGTCGCAACGCGCGCGTCGGTACCGATGCGCTCAACGAGGCTGAAGGGTTTGGGGCCGTACACCATGGCGACTCGGCGGAGCTCGTCTGGCGAGATTTCCAGGACGAGAGAGGCTTGCGAGATGTAGTAGTCGTAAAGGAGGAGTTGATACGCTGCGAAGTATTCGGCGGAGTCTTTGCTGGTCTCGGCACCGACAAGTCCGCGTTCGACTGGGCATAGCGAGACAAACTCAGGTACCTCGACGATGAGCCAGGAGACCCTTGGGTCACCTTCGTGGCCTACAGCGATCTGCCGTACCCATGATTCATTGCCATGCTTATCAAATTCGGAAGCGATACGACGACGCAACCGTCCATCAACGAGAATATTGAATTGGCCAGCGACGAAATCTGCTTGCGCTACTTTGGCACCTTGACCATCGCCATGGTCAACCTGTACGTCGTGCTGCTGGAAGCCTAGTTGCTCTGCTTCACGGCAGTTGATGCCTGTGGCGACGCTGAACAGCTCTGGGACTCCAAGATCGATGAAGTCACTTCCTGGCGTACGGATTCGTTGAAGATCGTTATGATATTGAACTTCGGTAACTTCCTCGATCCGAATTTGGACGCGACCACACGGAAGATGAACTAGACCACTTCCGTCCTGTACCACGCGGTGTTTGGTGAAGAGGCGGCATCTGGGCGTCTTGCTAGCGTTGAGATCAATTTTCTCGAGCGCCTCGAGATAGCGGCGGAGAAGAAGCTGGATGGAAAATGCCGCAGCTTGCCATGTCGACGGTCCGTCGAGCACTTCTCGCATATCAGTACGAATTTTGGTCGGGCACGGGTGCTCCGGAATGGTCGGCGGAGGCACAGTGGTGACAGTGCGATGCGGCTTGCCGTTCTTCCAGCGGTCGTCGATGTACTCAATATTGTGGATTTCGCCGACCATATGGAGTTCCTTCTCGTATCCCTCGATGATAGCTCCGGGTATGATGTCCCTGGATTTGGTCATGGGATGGTAGAACAAATCTGCCAGACTAAGCAGTGTTCCATCCAGTCTTTTCGGGAGGTTGTCCAGTCCGTAACGATCCAACATCATCTTGTCGATAAGGCCCAGCTGATGGTACATGTCTTCACGAATGTTCCAGTGCACTCCTAGAAACGGGTCGCCGCGAAGTTCAACACCGACGGCACGGCGGCCCATAGCTATAGCCCACAGCATCGCCAGCATGTTTGCGCCTCCAAGGCCGATGGCAACGAAATCGGCATCTTTGACTCCGGATAGCGTGGTTGAGCGACTGCCGCCCGGAACTTTGGTGTTCTGGGTCCGTTCTTGAGCCAGATACTTGGTCGTTGAGTAAAGATTGCTATTACTGGAAGCCATTGGGGCTAGAATGAAGTTCAAGTTGAATTGACAAGTGAGAACAAGACGGGTACAACGCTTCTTCAAGGGACCTGAAAACCAGCATCCCCGCTGAACCATTCCATGCGGGACGGGGCGTCTGGCGTTTACGTTGCAGAGGTGACTTACCGTTCTGGTACATCTGCCCCGTCAAGGCCCTGGATGCCTACCATGCTGAGTCTAGGTTCCCCACAGTTGCTAACTCAAGAGGAACTAATACAGTTCGCATCTTACCCGTGAGATAGGCGGCGTGGGGCGGCACGCTGCCACGTATCGTTTATTGGCGCGACGAAATATGTGCCCCTACAAGCGTAAATCCTGCCATGCGTGTCCTGCACGTTGTGTGGTAGTTTCGGTGCGACGGGCCTTTCATAAAGTAACCCATGAAGACTGTTGTGGCATTCCCGTCGGAGCTGTTATGAAAGCAACTACATTTGGCATGTAGTATCGATAGTAAGAATCCAATCGCCTCTGGCTGAAAACATGTGCGGATCCTACAAGTGACAACCAGGTTCCTGCGCGACTGTGACGGTGGTTTTTGAACTCCTCCACGAGCGCACGACGATAGGGTAGCGTGATCTAGAAGCGGGATATCATGAGCTTTGTGCTAACGATGCATGAAGCACAGCCGGAGTAAAACCTTCTTTCCCCCTCACAAAGCGGGCTGAGCAAGGCGATACATTTGTGACAGGCGCCGCGATCAGGTGGGTATGTTGCTCAAGGCCTGCCACGCCATCTAGAGTGGAGCCTTACATCCATGGATGCAGTAAGCGACGCATGCAGCAATCAATGCACCGTGAAGGCGGGGAGTCTGTCGAGGCCAGGAACGATCGAGGGTGCCATCGCGGAAGGGATTTTGTCGATTCGGAAACGGATGTGACAGCGAGCTGCACACAGTATACGGTCGCGACTTGTTCGGGCAGCTGGTCGCAAGGGGACGAAGGATGGAGGGTGGCCGGGAGCGACAGAACGGAGATGTGCCACGCTTGGCGCTAAAACACGCGTCCGAAGCGCGGAACGCGCTCTTAGCTCGATGGACCCGGCATCGACTGCGACCCCACAATCGAGGTTTAGCTCTTTCAATCGCGCGCCTCGTGTACATTCAGTCGCAAATATGCGTCGCCATGCTTGATAGCGGATTCGACACATGCACTCCTCATCTTCCACGTGGGACACGCCACGCGAAGTCGCCACTACTATGCATCCCTCCTACCGTCAGACGTGTTCATTCTCTCGGCAACCGCTTAGCATATCATATGCTCCAACATGCGACCTGACAAGCCCTGGCTAAGCACGAAAATCAGAGGCTATCGCCATTCCAAACGATGCCTTACTCCGGTCTCGTCCCGAGGTTCACTATGATACATGGATGATTACCCATTCGAGATCAACCGATCTGCACGGTACGAACGCGCACCAGGACGAAAGGGAGCAAAGCTACAGAGTAAACCCGACGACGCATAGCAGACGCAATGTCGAGGTGTCGACTCAAACTTTACAGCCGTCGACTTCCGAAAGTTTTCCACCATAAATTTGTTGCAACAGATCAGCATCGCGCTCCTCGACCGACGCGTATAATCCCGACCGTCGTCCACGACACACCAAGCTTACCACGCGCCCAACCCTCCACAACTTCGCCGATATCGCCTTCCACACTACGAGTACAGTCTTGCAGCACGCTGCTATTTCGCCGAATACACGCTCAGCATGTGTAATGCCGTGCCCTTTCTCTTGCGCGATGCGGATATATGCGGACCTAGCAGCTGGGAAGCTAGGGAGACATGGGACACACAATCATCATACATCTCGACCTTGGCGTCGGAACAAGGCCTCTGTCGGACTATATACCCAAATTACGAAGAGAGAGCGCACCACCTCCACGCGCAGGTGCAGGAATACGTTTAAGACTATGCACGGCTCAGAGTGTACAAGCGTTCCTGGAGAGAGAACTTGTCTCGATCTATGAGCGCATGTGTACACGGCATCCATCTCCCGAAGCAACTACCAACGTCAAGGTCTGCTTTTCCCGGCCAGTAGGGACAACAGGGTCATCCTTCGGAACAGTCATGGAAGGGAAAATTTGTACCAACCTCGCTACGGTATATCCCGCCTCCAGCAGGGCAAACTCTTGACCCAGGCAAACTCGTGGCCCGCCATTGAAGGGAAGATACCCGTACCCCACATCTCGCAACAGTGATCCATCCTCCCACCTCTCAGGGCGGAACTCGAGTGCATCTTCGCCGTAGATGTCTGTACGTCGATGCATAGCGTATACGCAGTAACCGACAGCCTCGCCTTTCCTGACCAATATCGGTGACTTTCCATCTGGGCCTCCTCCAACAGGAAGTGTCGTCGTCTTCAATGCTGCACGAGAGTTGACCGGCACGGATGGGTAGAGGCGAAGTACCTCCTTCAGAATGAGATCAAGATACCTCATCTTCTTCAAATCCACCCGACTTGGCTGAGGCGCATGCTGTCCGAGGCCTACTACTGCCTCTATTTCCGAACGTAACCTTTCCAAAACTTTAGGGTGACGGACCAGCAAGCGCAAGGTCCAGGTGAGGCAGCATGCTGTTGTGTCTCTGCCCGCCAGTAAAACATTGAGACACTGGTCGCGAAGTTCCTTCTTGTTCCGAGTCTCTTGGATGAGCGCGTCGATAAACACATAATGCTTCCTGTCCTCGGCTTCTACTTTCTCGGGTTCCGTAGTCACCGCATTATCCAGTGCTCTCTGAATCGCGTCGTCAACGAAGCGGTGAGAAGTCTTGCAAGCTTGCCAGAACTCGGGAGTACTCGCAAGCCAGTACAAGTCTCCCAGCCTGCCACGATGCGACAAGTAATCCTGTCCCAAATTAAAGGCTGCAGCAAACTCAGACTCTTGTCCAGCAATGTCACTGCTTTGCAAAGAGCTCAATGTTTTGCCAAAAAGCAGGAATGTCGTCGTGTCGAAGGTCAAGCGAAAGAATAACGGTTGGAGATCAACAATGCTGTCTGGACGAATTTGATCGATGAGGCTTTCGACCGACTTTTTCATCTCCTCGAAGTTCTGGTAGCGATTGGAAGTGAACTGGGGACGGAGTAACGCCCGCGAGTGTCTCCATGCTGTACCGTCTTGGGTGAAAATCCCGCATCCCAGCAATGGATCAAAATGCTTGGGTCGGAGCCCAAGATTGAAGTCTATCACAAGCGTCAATGCCAGCAGTCATCTTAATCATTCAACTTTGACAAACCTTCAAACTGGGTAGAGAGGATTTCTTCGATGTTGCATGGTTCAATCGTATTGATACCGCGAGCTCCGACTATGCAGTGTCAACGCCGCGGTTTTTGTTGTGTCTTTGTGGACTTACGCAACTGCTGCTCATGCGTCGGACCGCTAGAGTCTACTACTTCTAAGAAAAACTGTAAAATGGTCTGCGCTCTTGCATGTCGCCCCGCCTTGAGCAGCAGGTCCAAGCCTTGTGGCCATTTTGCTGCCCACCTCCGCGGTGTTTTGCACCCCATCTGCGCGGCATATCGGTCTTCTTCCTGGTAATTGTCAGCAGCATCATCTTTCATTTTATCAACTACGCCTACATCACGCTGCATTTGGCGCTTCCGCACTTTATAAACCAGCAGGCTGCAGACGACTAGGCACAACAACATGCTTATAGTCGCCATGTTACTCAGCTCGATGAAAGTGATCAAAAAATCGATTGATGATGAGCGTTGTAACTCCGGAGCCGATGCGACGCTTTTGCGGCAATGATCGTGCCCGCAGTTTGAACCTGGAAGTCTCAAACACCGAGTATCTAGGCAAACGCTTCAGGTTTGTTCTTGTCGGCCGACTCTATATATATCTCGGTCAGTGCACGGTACTTGCAACAACGGTCGGGTGTTGGCCGTTAGGCGCTTTGTCATGTAGCCTTGCCAGTAGGAAGACGTTGATGAAGCCAACACTAGTGCGTTTGGTTAAGCTTGGCTCGTGCCGCGCCCCTTGCCCCGATCACTGTGTTGGAGCAGGTACCAGCGGCCGAATGTGTTTGCTGCTGATAAAATGATGCTGAACAGAATGAGGTGGAGAAATCGATGAAGAAGAAGACATCGCGCAGGATGCACCCATCGCCGATTTATATCGAAACCACCGAAACTCCCATCGAAAATAGACTATCTGGCTCATACGACAAACAATAACTACACGCGTCACATTGTCTACTGAAGTTCGGCAAGCGCCAATGCGTCCCTCGTAGAAAGGATCTCGCAATGTCGATCGCATGTCATACATCGGCATCTTGTTCGACATGCGTTTGAGCTTTTCTCCTCTTGCTCAAACGCTCCACAAACATATCCCCTAGTCTATACCCCAATTCTTCTTTCCTAAGAACTCGGAGATGACTGGCGATATCACTACCCATCTTATCACCCGACAAAACCGGACCTAATCGCCTCTGCGATCTCTCGAACTCCGCTTTCGCTTTCTTTCTCAAAGTTTCGTATCCTAGTCGCTTTTCTGGATTGATCTGGAGACAGTCGACCACCAGTTGGTGCAAGGTATTAGAATACATCGCATCGTAACCTGGGATGTCTGTCGATGTGAACGTATCGCCTTCTGCAAATTGGAACGAAGCTTCGATGCTGTCCTCGCATATCTGGTCCGACGTTTCTCTTCCAAGCGTAGTATGCATCAGTTTCCAGATGATCATCCCAAGCGACCAAATATCTGCTTTGGCATTGACAGCATGATGATGTGCTGTCTCTACGATAATCTCTGGGGCTTGGAATCCTTTCGTGCCCCAATCTTTCCTCCCCTCTGAAGCATCTGTGCTTCGTGAGATCGTCTTGACGACATCGTAGTCAGCAAGAAGAGTTTTTGGGTACGCTAGGTAGGGTTCCTTAGCGGTACTGAGAAAGATGTTCGCTGGCTTGACATCCAAATGCACCATGCTGTCTGTGAACTTCTTCCTTGGCTTGTTTCGACCTCGCTTTCCTTTCTTTGTCTTTTGTCCCTCTTTTCCGACTTCTGAGCCGTTATCTGCTCCTTTCGTCGTCTTATCTTCGTCGAGCGTCTCTCTGCACAACCCCGTGTTCAGGGTACATATGGCATCGGCCAGCGCATGAAAGACCATCCAGATGAACTGCTCGGGTATTTGCTTATCCAAGTTCTCTTCCTGATAATAAACTTTGAGAAGTTCGCTCAGATCTCCGTGCTCGGCGTAATCAGAATACAAGCGATACATTAGCGTACCCTCTTGTTGAGAGGCTGCTTCAATGTGATGGCAATGATCACAAAGCTCCAGTTGTCGACTGATATTATACTCATCTTCGACAAAGTTCACCATTTTCTGCGAACCACAACGTATCTTCTTACCTACCTTCCGCTAACTGATGTCAGTACTATTTAGCGAAGTAGGGGTTGATGAAGATACTAACTTTCAATATTCTACCGGTTTCATCGCATAGCACGTACAAGCATACTGCTGTGCGCATCTCTCTGGACCCACTGAATCTAGTACGAGAGTCCATCAGCGTCTTGCACCATTGCCATGCTTGCGTTGCGTTGTCAAGTGGTTCGTCGCGCCCTCTTTTCCTTGTCTGGGGAGGTGCTGCTCTACCAGTATCTGCTTCGGTAAGACCAACCCTTGCTATTGCGATCTCGGTATCACTAGGCTCGTAAGCAGACGTTTCTGTCTCATTCGATGCTTCCGGGTTGACAGCCTCAGCAGTTGTCGCTACGCCATGCAAAGGGTCTTCTATGTTGAGAACATTATCTTCTGGGGCTCCGGGTTCTGCCTGTATACGACCTCCATTGATCGCTTCTTGGGGATCGTTTCTAGACGACTCTTCTCCTCCGCTCTCGATTCCGCGATCTGACGCATAGTTGATCGCCCTAGATGTGGCGCGGTTGATGTATTCCTGTTGCGCCGTGGATGTAGTCTTATTCCATACCCGTGAAAGCACACCAGCCCCTTCAATCCTGCCATCGTACTGCGTTAAGAATTGCAAGTACCCGCGCCGCGCGTCATCGTTGGGTAGCGCATTAAACAGGGTGAGGTATTTCTGCGACGGCCGTCCAGGTAAGGTTGGTGGAGCTGCCATGTATGTCGTCAAATGTTGTATTGCGCGGGAACGAAGATGGTACTCCCGTCGTTACCAGAATTCAGAAAAGCCTCATGTATTATTCGGGTACATGGCCTTGGTTTTGCGTTGATAAAGGGCCGAACAAAGGTCCTGTTCTTCGTTCTTTGTGGTGTGTTTGCGGACATGCTGACATCTTGAGCTTTTGTTAGGTAGACACACCCTGCAAAGCTGAAGCATACTAGGCTGATTGGATAGATCAACTCGATGACACTGTGTGTATCGGGAATAGGTTTGAAAGACGTCCCCGCGATAGATGGTCGGTCTTGGCGGCTTGCATCTAGGTAAAGCTATCGAGCTGGTAAAGTCTCTGTGTGCAATTCATACTTCTCATACGGTTATCACACTACCGCTCCGCAGTCATTCGTCTTCAGATTAGGTAGAATTCGAATCTAAATCAGCATCCAAGTCGCCTTGGGTTGACGTGTGCTGCATCGGTCTACTCGCATACCAGTCGATCCTGGGCCTTCATTTGACTAAGCGAGCGTTGCGGTAAATATCTCTAGAACAGTAGATCAAAATCTAGCTGAACACAATTATCAAATTACCTCTAGTGACGTAACACTCATAATTGACATGGAAGGCACCTTCCTCAAGGTTGAACTCCGCTCCCCAACACAGCAAGCGCCTCTCACCTCCAGTTTCCCTACGCTAATCTCTCTCTTTCTTTCGCCTATACTTCTGAATATTTGGAAGCGAGACGCTAAAGTTTCTTCGTCAATCAGTGCGGTCGCAACGTTGCCGCGCAGTATTGCTAACGTCGCTCCTTCCATTCGACAAAGATCTCGGTCGAGCCCCATCACTCCTACCCATCACACCCAGTCATGGCGCAAGAGCAGATTAAGAACACGCGGCAGCGACCTCTATCAGGCCCAGTAATGCCTTCGCAACCCCGACCATTCGTCGGACCTACCCCAAACATGTTGCCGTCCAATCTTCCAGCCAGGTTCGATCAGAATGCAACGGGCGGCCAGGCATTCCTGCCTCCCATGGCACCACCTCACTGGCCTTCTTTTCCGCATCTCAATTATCCATTCGAAAATCCATATCCTGATCTAACAGCCCGACGCCGACAACACCCACTTCCATTCAGCATGTCGCGCAATGAACACAACGTCGACCTAAACACTGGCGCAAGAAGCATCGATCTAAAACAGCCGGCGACACCAACGCAAGGCAGTGGTCACGTAAACCCCCCTGACCAGCGTCATGACTCTCTGACTAAGGGAGACAACGCTCACGTCTCGCCCGCACCACTTCCGACAGGCTGGAACGGTAGTCGTATTCCATCGAACAATGTTCCGAGGAAGGCGCCGCTGGCAGCTCGCTCTCCAGATGATATCTCACCATTCATAGCGAGAAAGATACCGCCAACGAAGCAACAGAGATCAACGAGTCAGTCAAAAGCAACCCACGGCCCCTCACAAGGCAGTCGAGTACGCCAGCAAAAGTCCTTCAATACGCCGCCGTTGGGTACCCCTAAGCGAGGACGGCCACGATTAGACGATGGAGTTCAGGATAACAACACAGCTGGTGGGCTGAACCGCCAGGTAGATCCTCACATCGGTCAAAAAGCCAGCGCGCAGCCTCCCATCGGTTTGTTTGCGCCTCCGCAGGTATCGTCCGCGATTCCACCGAAACCCATGAGACCATGCCCGAGGTATGACTACGTCGTACCTTTGGAGTTGGTAGCCACACAAAGGGCCCTTGGTAACTGCTCATCGCTCAAGGCTCTAGGGAACAATCGCTGATAACATTGCTTCTAGGCCCAGACAACTGGAACGAATATGTGTACGTCATGGAGCAGCTCTGGACCGAAGAAATCACCTTTGACGAGTTTGGCGCGCGCACGCAACGGATATTCCAAGTGTTCGATGAGGGCATTCGGAGGAGGTTGAACAATACTGTGGCGATGAAGATGATAGTGCCACGGCTAGAGGAAGAGCGGAAGAAAGGTCAGTCGACTAAGGGTGCGGAAGACGTCTAGGATAAGCTCTACAAGGGTCATCGGGCCCGCGCATCATGGTGAGGTCATGGACATCGGACTGTGGGAGTCATGCATGCAAGATGCTAGAAAAGTTCAAGGCTATTCTAGAAGTACTCGGTGATGCGCGCATAGACGATCAATTCCAAGTACCCGCGGCATGGCCTTCAAAGAGATGACGACCTTCGCCTTGGCTTATTTCCATCCTCGTGTGCTTGCTTCTTCCTCAGTTTTTCCAACCATAAATCGTCCTCACAACGCTTGCCGCCTATCAACTGCTCATAGGTTCCGTTGTCCTTCCAAAGACGGTCCAAGCCCATGTATATGCAAAGCAAGGCACCGTTTGGTACCGTGTAGTTGATCTCGTCGCGAAACTGCTGCGTCGCTACTTCAAGTTTCAGAAGTGACTCTCGGATCGCCGTGGCACTGATTGTGGGACAAGCCGTAGGAGAAGGAGGATTGGCGTTCCGATTGCTAGGGATGAAGATGATGTAGCCGCGTTTGCGGGTCAAGCGTGTCCACTGAAGTGTGTTCTTGGTGAAGTGACAACGGGCTAAGATAGTCGCGAGTGGGTGCTTTGAAGCCCTTATGTCTGGTTGTACATACGTTAGCAACAAGGTACGACCGAGCAACACCGGAAAAGAGACTTACCGAACGAGAACGACCCATTTTTCAGGACACCCTCGGGGAAGACCTTGCGCATCTTGGCGCAAGGCCAGCACGGCCAGCACGGCCAGCAATCTGGAGTTGCATTATCCTTGCCTGTCCATTCTTGGCCTTCGTTCCTCATCTCTTTCCACTTCTCACATTCTTCCAACTGTAGCAGGCCACTGCCGTCTTCAGGCACAAAGTCCATGGGTCGTGTGACATCGCTGCTAACGCACGTCCTGCCATCTCAACCCCACAGTCCGTTGGCCATACTCTTCTGGGTGATGTGGTCGCCTCCGTACAGCGTCGGAAAGGAGACTTTGAAGCCATCCAACTTCGCTAACCGCTTGACTGTTGCCATAAACATGTCCAACCTGTCGTCATCGTCCTCTGGGAATACCCACGCGAATCTCTCTAGCACCTCGTCTTTCCAGAGTTCGCGGCGCTGGTAGTGCGAGAGTATGAACGCTTTACCCTTGTTGTCAGTAACATGATCTTTGGAATCTAGACAGTCGTCACTGAGAGCAAAGATCATGACTGCGATGGTATTCGCATCCGTGTTTAGATAGGTGTGCCAGAGAAGCGCGGCGTGACCTGCATGTGGTGGATTGAAATATCCGGGGTAGATTACAATACGGTTCTCCCGGCCGCGTTGGAGCTCAGGTCCTGGAGATCTGGTGAAGATGCGCGGCGAGGGGTCGGAGAATTCTTGCATGTCTTCGTATGCGCGGTGAATGTAGTCTTCTAGAAAAGTCGCCTGTGACCCATTCAATCTTGTAGTACCTGCAGATGAGCTATATTGGATGTTTGCGGATCTGGATATGTCTGCGCCCACAGCCGAGGAGATCTGATTTAGCTCGACAGCATTATCGCCGTCTCGATCGCTAATTTGCTGCGCTACTTGAAGTTTCATATCATCTCCAGAATCTATGAGATTATTCTTGTCGAATTGAGCGTTCTCCATGCTCGGCTTACCATACAGAATGCGCGACTACTTTCGGAATAGAAAACCCAAATGCAAAGTGCGCGCAGTGAGAGTTCTTCAAGGTCCGTGCATTGTCGCTCGTAGTGCTGTAAATATTCACTGGCAATGTCATATTGACAGCCGAGGTGAAGCAGGCTCTAGTACTATCCCAAGTCGCGATAGACAATATCTTGTATACTCCGTAAGGGACAGCATGGCGCGATGTTGTATCATGAGAACGATTTGCAAGGTCACGAGTATGGCGTTGACGGAAATCTTCAAGCTTGGAAATGATACCCTGTGTGAGTGTTCGAGAGTAGCGCACTCCAATGGACATAAAAGCTTCGTTGGCAGCGCCAAATGAGCGCAAGGAGATATGGTGTAGACCATGGACATTGTTTACCGAGCTCGATCCTTGGGTTATGACTAATAGAAGTACTGTTGTTCACAGCTTGCCCCAGTGCCTTCATTTCAAAAAAACTCATCGCTCGGTCGTCCCTGCAATGCATTTAGTCGTATACTACAGCTGAGAATTGCTGCCTGCTCAAATAGTAGCCGTCAGACCAACCAACCAACACGCATTCGGTACGCCTTCAATTTGCGTGTGTGCCCACATCAGCTGTTCTCCACAACCAGTTAGAAGCACCGGACTGGAACCACCGTTATCGACTTACCAGCCCACCAATGTACACACCCATAGTCCCTCGAACGCGAACCCCGAAAGCAGCGGACGGGCTTGGGTGTAGTACCAGTTTCTGCATTACTTTTTGGAAGGTTCTTTCTCGATTTCACACCGCCTGGCCGAGGTCTGGAGCATGCAGATAGAGCTGTGAGAAGGCGATAGCTTCAGTGACTGCATTTAGAGTATTGTCGGTCATGTCCGAAATCGATAACGCAGCGTTGCGGCTAGCGGGAACTAGTAGGGCGTCGGAGTAACTTTCGATGAGGCTCGAGTGTGATTAGTGAAAATTCGCTGGTTAGTCGTCCAAAGTGGGCAATCCGGAGGTTGTGGAGAATGACGGCTCCATGGTGTGGGGTATCGGACGATGTCTAGCGTTGCAATCGACCGAGGCCCACTTCAACGAGAGCCTCATGGGTTCGAGACACGAAGTGCATATCGCGCCTATATAGTGCGAGGATGGTTAACAGACGCTGGAAAGACTAGTGATCTGTGAATATGTGTGATTCTATGCGCTAAGGAAAGACCGGGAAAATGAGTTTACCGTTTGCGACCCTGTGCCACAGCCGGTAGCCGCGGGTTGCTTCTGCTCGCAAGACGGTACCTGGTCCCTCTGTTTGCGGCAAAAGCACCGGCATGCTCGTCGGCCGCGCATCCCATCTTCTTTGTCTTGCGCGGTCGAGGTTGCAACACAGGCACGTGAGCAGTGTTTCCGTGGTCTGTGTGTTGACCCGCTGAATCCTGGAGAGACCTGGAGAAAATTTTGGAGTAGTCTCCACAAGAAGGCATCGCTACGAATGAGACGTAAGCCCACAATTCTGACAGTTGGGCCGGGCTCGATGTCGTCCCAAGCTTTGGCGAGGGCTTGGATTGTTGGGACAAGGAGACTCAAGGTGCCCAAGACATCGCCGCGCGTACGCTATCGAGTTCGCTGGTCTCGTCGAGGCTTGCCACCGACGTCGTCCATTGGTTGAGGCGACAATGCGATGGACTTCCTACATTTTCTGGACTTGTCGAACACCTCTCCAGATAGATTGCAGTCGTGATCCTGGCGGAGATTGGGATGGGCTGACATTTATGAGAAGGAAACAACGGGAAGGACCTTTGGCGGCAGTACAATGGCGCCTTGCTCCCTGCCTCGGTGGTCGCGCCAACATGTGCCGGTATGCAGGCGGCTGACGGGAAGGGCAACATGGGCGCCGATCGGAGCTGGGCAGCGTCAGCTTAACAAGCCGCACACCTCGATCGCACCAAGCACATGCAACGTGAAGCCTTGCACTGATCACGGGGACACCACGAGTACGGGATACCTGCCGCGCTACTGTGACGGCGATTGCGCCTCGTGCGCCGTGCGACGCAAGATACACCGGTAAACATGTAAGGGTGAGCTGACAGCGCCCTTCACCAACCTCCAGAATAAGAGCGGGCTGGCGTGACGGTTGCTCGGAAGACAGCCGAGCAATGTAACGCGGTGGCTTGAGCTAGCGGAATCACATGGGGTCGAGAATGCGGAGGGTGAGGTCATAGACGTCGGCCTGCGCGAAGCTTTGGGGTGAGGGCCAAGCCCCAGGCCTTAAGCGTGGCTAAGATAGCCGCAGCACGCTTGGGGAGGCTTACTCCATGGGGAGAGATGGAGTGGGGATCCTCATGAACGATAGCGCTAGCGCGTGAAACCCCCTCCTCCAAGGCTGTTTCTCAATGGCTGACGCGAGCCAGGATCCCGGGGTGCTCGACCGCCGCGACGGTGGTGCCAGTGAAAGAGAATCTGGAAAAACCCAGGTGCCTGTCGGAAACCTCTTACAGCTGGCGTGCGCCGTTGAGGCTCCACTTTTAGGCCTCCCTCTCACTCCGAACTCCCCCAGGTATAAGATCGACTGCTCATCTCCCCCGCCATTTCTCTCTACCTCCACTCCACTGCTCTCCGCAACTCCTTGCAATTTGTCTTACTAACGTCGGAGCCTGCGAGACATCCACTCCACCATGGACGCAAAGGACACTGGCGTCAGCCACATTCCTGACAAGGAAGTAGCCTACTCTGCTGAGAAGGAAGCTGCCTACGACCCGGCCAACGAGAAGGAGCCTCACTACACGCCCACCGCAGAGCACATCGCGGATACAGGCGCCCGCCGCGAATCTGTCGCTCACAACATCATCGAGAACCCTCTAACCCGCCAGTCAAAGGCCGAGTGTGTCGGCGCTGCCGAGCAATGGGCTGCCACCCATGGTTTGGAGGAGCACGCCGCTCTCTTCGGAAAGGCCGCCCTTATCGCGCGTGATCCTGAGCGCTTCGAGATGCTCACCGACCTTACTCAGGAAGAGCGCGATGCTCTCATCTACGAGCGCGACCACAAGTGGTTCGGTCCCACCATGATGTGGTACTCGATTGGTCTGTGTGCCATTGGAGCCGCCACTCAGGGCTGGGACCAGACTGGATCCAACGGAGCCAACTTGTCCTTCCCTGAAGAATTTGGTCTTCTCGGATCGGACAGGGGCGAATGGATCATCGGACTTATCAACTCCATCATCTTCTTGACTGCTGGTCTCATCGGCGCTTTCATCGTCGACCCTCTCAACAAGTACCTCGGTCGTCGTGGAGAAATCTTCGTCACCGCTATCTGCCTGACTGCCACCCCCATTGGTTCCGCTTGTGCGCAATCATGGCAAGGGCTCTTTGCTGCGCGCTTCATCATGGGAATTGGAATCGGTGCAAAGAACGCCACTGTCCCGATTTACTCTGCTGAGATTGCACCTCACCGAATTCGCGGTGCCCTGGTCATGTTCTGGCAGTTGTGGGTTGTCATTGGTAAGTTGTACCATCCGCGTTGTCGACGATATGTTATTAACCCCTATCCACAGGTATCTTCCTCGGTTTCTGCGCCAATGTCATCGTCAAGGACACTGGAGCTATCTCATGGCGTCTACAACTCGGTTCTGCTTTCATCCCATCCTTTATCCTCATGATTGGCATCTTCTTTTGCCCAGAGTAAGTGAAATTCATCACGCTCAATCATATCAAGCATATACTGACAAACACTTTTAGGTCTCCTCGTTGGTTGATGAAGCATGGCCACATTGCCAAAGGCTACCGATCAATGGCCAGACTGCGCGCACACCCCATCATTGCTGCTCGCGACTACTACTACTCATACGTCATCTATGAGACCGAGCTAGCCGTTGCACGTGGAGCTGGCTACTTCGACCGCATGTGGGACTGCTTCCGCGTGCCTCGAATTAGGCGTGCCAATTACGGTGCTTCGACTGTCATGATTGCCCAGCAGATGTGTGGTATCAACATCATCTCATTCTACAGCTCGACCATTTTTACCCAGGTCGGCTTTACCGATGACCAGGCTTTGTACGCCTCTCTGGGCTACGGAGCTCTTCAGGTCGTCTCCACGATTCCTACTCTGTTCCTCATCGACACCAAGGGACGAAGGACCCTTTGCATGTGGGCAAGTACTTCCCAACCTTTGCGCGACTAATCTTGTGCTGACTGTGTGCTAGACCTTCCCCTTCATGTGCATCTTCCTACTGGCTGGCGGTTTATCCCTCCTTAACCACAGTGGTAGTCAAGCCGCTCAACTCGGACCGATCGTCTTATTCATCTACCTCTTCACAATCATGTACTCGCTCGGAGAAGGGCCAGTCGCATTCCAGTATTCTGCTGAGGTTTTCCCTACCATTCAGCGTGAGCAAGGAATGGCCTGGGCAGTGTGCATCAACAACACCTTCGCTGGAGTCTTGTCGCTCACCTTCCCTCGTATGGTGTCAGTCATGACGCAGACCGGCGCCTTCGGATTCTACGCTGGCCTCAACTTGATCGCCTGGTTTATGATCTTCTGTTTCGTCCGAGAGACCAAGCAGCTCACGCTTGAAGAACTGGACCAGGTCTTCAGTGTGCCCACCAAGCAGTACCTCCACTACGAGATCACCCAGTCGGTGCCTTACTTCATCAACAAGACGGTTCTCCGCCGAAATGTGCCCAAGCCCCCTCCGATTATCGAGAAAGGCTACGCTACTGGCGCTGTCCCGACTGCGTAAATCCGGATCCAAACTAGTCAGATCATTTGAAGGTCCAGTTCTACTTAGCATAGGACTATGTAATGCGTTCGTTAGTGTAAATAGCACACGAAGCTCTCTGAGCGAGTAATGAATACCCCAGCGTGAGATGCTCACACGCTTAAACTGATTCATGTGTAATGCTGTCATGTGATTGCTCTCCTCTGCGCTTAACAAAGATACATTTTGGGGTATGAACTAATTGTCCGGTGGAACGCGGAGAACTCCCTACACAATGGTACGCTACGTAGTCTGCCTGTCACACCCAAACAACGCCATCCGCTAGAGATCGCTCCTCCCGTACGCGTCTACTGAAAGTGGGGCCTCACATGGGAAGCTTCAGCATTGACCACCCATGCCGACCTTCGCCAATGCGGAGAGTCGGATCTCACGTCTCATCGCCTTTGCAACTCCTCGCATGTCACACATGCTCCATTCGCGACTTAGAAGCTGAACACTTTGCGGTCATAATACCTCTCGCTACATTACGAGCTCACACGGTATCGCAGACCAAGCGAGTGTTGGGTGGAAGAAAGGCCATGACGTTCGGATGGCACCTTGGACTGGAAGGACCAATCGGTGATTGATTGTTCACAAACACACCACCAGCCCTGCCGTCCTGCTTCAAAACTATAAGACGTGATGCGAAATAACGGACATCCTCCTTCTCGTCAGCCATCATATGCATCAACTCAAGCTACAATAGTTGGTCCAAGCTCAGATCTCAGCAACAACAAGAATGATGAACAAAGTCTTGTTCTCTGCGACAGGTAACAAAGGAACAAACACCCACGAGCGATACCGGAGGCTCGAGGTTATACAGTCCCCCACGGCATGGTCGCGGTCACAACGAGGGGCCTATATGCCGAGAGAAACGGAAACCCTGGGATCCAGTGTGACACTTCACACCCGACAACGTGTTACGAGAAGTACTTTTATGACGGTACCCGAGCGATGGAGTCACGACGCACGGCTTCCCGCTGTGCACGATCACATGGCACCACGTACGAAGAGCAGTTGGTGGACATGGCATGTCAACGTGGGCTTGACTCTTTGAGAGTCGAACGCGGGCTGACTGGTGGCTATATGCGTCGACTGTGAGTCTTCGGGGGTGACTGGGAGGAAATGTGAGTCAATCAGGAGTATATAAAGAGCACACCGACACGGTCGTACTTTCACATCAGTATACTACCTTTCGAAGCTCAGGCAAACTCAACTAAGCTACCTCGACGACTCTCGACTGAGTATACATTTCAGCCCCTAATGTCTTCCTCGAAGTTGAAGGACTTTATTCCATATGAGCTGAGCGACGAGGAAAATAGGGACCTTGACGAACTGAAGAAGGGGATCGAGGCGCGGAAGGAAAAACTCACAATAGCAAGATGTGGAGAGCTGCCCAAATGGAAGTATCCTTTGAAAATAATCAAAGAAGCGCAAGATGCGGCAGAGAAGCACCAGGATCTTGTCAGTGGGAGGCTAATCCGACTTCTCGAATGGCCTAGTAAGGAAATGGCAGATGGAGACTTCTTCTATCAAGCAGATCCACCCAACAACGTGTTCGATCGGAACAAAAACTGGTTTACTGAGCAAGGGTTTCACTCTTTCGCGACACAGTACTCGTTTTCGGACAGGTGGGACAAACAGCCTCTGATGGTGTCAATTTACGTACCACAACAATTGCCAGCAGATCAGCGGTCGGCCGTTATGTGGATGTTCCACGGTGGCGGGTTTGTATGCAACCATTCTGGGTGTTTGAGATCGACTTAGATATGCTAACGTATTTACAGTGTACTGGCGCTGCTAACTTCATTCCTTGGTACTCGCAAACTGCTATTCAGAGGGCCAAACAGAAGAATGCCATAATCATAGCACCTAATTACCCTCTCGGGCCAGAAGGCAATTATATTGACATTTACGAAGCAATTCACGACTTCCTCAGATGGTACAAAGAGGACGGATACTTTAAGAAGGACGACAATGACAAAACCGCTTCTTGGCCGCAGTGGTTGTGCTGCGAGATGGAACAGAAAGGGCAGAAACTCAACATTGCCAAAGAGTGCGTGTATATTGAAGGGGAAAGCGCAGGCGGTCACGCAGCCGTGACTGCGATGTGGCTTAACGCAGACCGGGAACTAGACTTGAAGATACCCGTTCAAGCGGCTCTATTACGGTTCCCTATGATTGCGCACTACAAACGCAAAATCCCTGATGGCGAGAAAGTTCTATACATGAACCAATGGTTTGGAAAAGACATTCTGAAGAACCGAGCCGAAGATGTAAAAAAAGAAATCCTCAGGCTTGAAAGACTGGGCATTGTACCAACCTGTACCCAGAGACCACCTCCTCGTGGCATGGCCTTTGCCGTCGTCCTTTCCACCACAGAGACATGGCAGCCATTCTTCCAGCGCTATCATGGATATAATACACTAGCTGAAGGGCCGAACATCGACAAGAACGACGATCGCATTATGGATGGCATTGAACGAGCCGAAAGATGTGCAGAGTCTGTACATCATGACCTTCTTCCACCAATCTACATCTATCACGGCAACGAAGATCCCAATTGTCCCCTCACGGACACCGAGAAGTTTGTTGAGACGCTCCAGGATCGCGACCTCTATGGCGATAGATTCAAGGACGAGGAAACGCTTTGCTTGAATGTCGTTCGGGAGTTGAACAAGAAGCCCGTGTCAGATCCAGACGCCGACAACGGATTGAAGTATGTTCGGACCGATGAAGTGGGGCACGGTTTTGATTACTACCTGAACGAGAACGAAGAGCAGTTTCTGAAGGACGCGTACGACTGGGTTGGCAGTCGTTGGGGTCCTAAGAAGTGAGACTATGGTGGTGTGACGACTGGGGATGAGAATGGTACTGCACGTTAATATGTCAATACCCCTTGATACAACCATCACTTCATCATCAATCACATTCTTCGTTTCAAGATCTGTCAATCACATTCTTTGTTTCATCATCTGGTATCGTTTTCTACGTATGTCCAACTCCATAGCTCTTGACTAAGAGGGCGCTACAGCCCTTGCCAATACAGAGATGTCTCGTCATGCCTTTCTCTTGATTTCCTTGATGTCAAGGCTCGCCAATAACCCATGAATAAATGAAAGCCATTCCGGTCACCTATCTACTTCTTCTGCACTAACCATACAAAGTGCCCTTAGTACGCTCACTAAACTGCGTCTCGTTATGAAGGTGCTGGGTGACATCCATGGTAGTGGTGATATGCTCCCGACTAAGCTTCTCCTCCTTACGACTAGCCAACAGTCTAGCGATCTTAAGGATGTTCTTGATTTGCCGTCCATTGAGATCCATACGCGCTAACTCAGTGAGTTCAGCCTTGGAAATCGTGTGCTCCTGCGACGACGAATCGAGGAAGTTCTTCCAGACCGTCTTACGCGAGTCGATGGTGAGACCGGGGTAGTCGAGCGAGATATGAATGCGCGATTGGAAAGCTGGGTCGAAGGTCTGGACGCGGTTGGTCGTGAGGAACATGGTGCCTTCGTAGTACTCTAGGACGCGAAGGAAGATAGAGACGAGTTTGTTGCGCTCGAGCTCGTGGAGAGAGCGCTGCTCCAAGAAGACGTCGGCTTCGTCGAGGAGGAGGACCGCGTTCCAGCGGCTGCACATTTCGAGAATGTCTTGCAGCTTGGTCTCGACTTTCCTAGGGTCGAAGCCAAGATCGCCAGCGCTCATCATGTAGAGAGGCACCTTCATTTCTTCGGCGACTGACTCGCTAGTGAGAGTCTTACCCACGCCTGGTGGGCCGCAGAGTAGGATAATCATGCCTTTGCCTTTACCTTCGATCACGTCGTCAAACGTGTCGCGGAACTTCCGTTGAGACTCCGTGAAGCCTAAGATAAGCTCTTTCTGGTTCTTTGGGAGCACCAACCTATCGAAAGCGTCATCTTGCCACTCAATGTCTTTAACACAGTTTACGAAGAAGTTCAGCCAAAGCTTGTTCTTCAGGCTGTAACCACGAAGTAGAGGTGTGCAGATGAGCTTCTGTTCAGTTGTCAAGGGCACGTGTTTGGCTGCATCATCCTCGTCGGCAAATGCGCCATCTAATGGCATGCCACTGTCGTCTTCGTCTTCGAACTCATCCTGGCACTCGTCAATCTCTTCCTCGTCGTACTGCCCCGGGATAGGTGGGATTGGTGGCGGGCTAGGATCTTTCTGGTTCAGTGGCGTTACAAAGACGGAATGAGTGGGGTCGAAACGGTTCCAGCCGTAGGTATCGATGATTATCCGACCCTTCACGTTGTACTTGTCTTTGTTCCCGAACCCGCCCTGCCTCCATGCAACACCTTGGTATGCTCTATAGTTCGGACCAGCGAGAGTTTCTGCTTTAGCACCCCGCTCAATGAGGCGAGTGCGGATAGCTTCGCCCTCGGGATGGAACTCGATGGGGTAGACACGCAGATTGGTGATAGCGCGTGTACCGGTATAGGCGGCGATGGAGAGGTTGATCTTGTTGGAACCGAATTTGGCGCCATCCCAATCGACGTACTTGCAAGTCAGCCAAAAGCAGGGTGCACCCTTGCAATCCTGTCCATAACGCGTCTCGACCAGGATCATGGCCGTCTCTTGACCATCCTGTCGAGCGAAAACAGTCGCACCAGGTTGATACAGCGTCCAAAGGTGCTCGTATGTCATGACCTTCTTGTTCTTCATGTCTTGAGAGGTGTCAATCATACTCCTGAACTCCTTGGTGAGAATCTCTTGGAGCAACTCAGCGTGCGCTTTGGTCGTGCGCTTATCCTCTGTCTCGTCGCCAAGCTTGGCGATAGCGTCCTGCAACTCAGTCCATCGATGAATCAGTGGCTCAAACTTGCCCTGGAACTCGAGACGGTTGAGGCCGACGGTGACACCCGGGTAGTTCTTCAGTACACCAGCGAGCAGCTTCTTCAGCAGCGGGCTCTGAACGACAATCGAGTGAATAGACAATACTCGTCGGGGATCGTTGTAAACCTTGACGTTCCGCACGAGCAACGCCCACTTCGCGGTCTCATCGTTCTCGACGGCTTCTCCAAGGTCTTCGGGGATCTCCTCTTGCCACTGAAAGCGGCCTTTTTTGTCTTCCTTTCCGGAGTACAAGTGCTTTAGACCGTTCTTCATTCCTGGTTTGTAAAGCTCCTCGTCCTCGGGCTTGTCTTCCGGAATGTCATTATCGGCGGCGCCATTCTCAGCCTGCTTTCGACCTTTACCGTTGACAAGAACGTGCTTGACACCATTGGTCTTGGCCTTTGACTTGGTCTTTGAGGTTGGCTTATCTTCTTCGGATGATGAAGATGAGACCGATGGAGAGCGAGCCTCGCGCCTAGCTCTGTTTCGTTGCTCCAGAGCCATGAGCTGGCGCAAGTAGGCCAACTGCTCAGCGCGCGCGTCTTCTTCAGTGGGCGAGTCGCACATGACGAGTGCTGTTGGGACGGACTGAACTGAGGCGACGGATGTCCTTCGAGATCGGCTTGCTTGAAGTACTGTAATGGTATGCTGAGTGGGTGGGGGGAGGAAAGGCTTTGAGTGGGTTGAGGAAGAAGTGAGAGCGTAGTGCAGTAAGAGAAGCTGGGAGCCGTGCTAGTCGAGCGTGAGCTGAGGCTTCGTTTCACCGTATTATCGAAGCAGTTGAACGATAAAGGGAGTCCCGATTCACTCCGATTGTTCAAGTAAAAGATAACCGTAAAGGAAAAATGGAGGTGGACTGAGATTCAAGCAAAAAGTACTTCACAAGGCTATATGTAGGCAGCCAAGAGAACCGGTCAGCCTTGCCTGTTGCCTGGTCGTGCGGCGATATCGTGGAACGTCTGCCTGCTGCAGGTCTGGTAGCGAAAGTCCTTGCAGAAGGGCTGCGAAGCTGTCGATTTCGACTACTGTGAGCGGCTTTCACACAGATCTTTACTTACCTGAGTGCTGAAAGGGCTATGCGTTGGCAATGCCGTCGGGTCACACAAGGCGTCAGCGGTGGCGTCACTGCAGCTCTTGGATGCCACCAAAGCGAGGAGACGTGTTGCACAGCCTCACCCAATTCCCTCTCTGCCTTCACCATATTCGAGCCACGCTTGCGATGCATCATGCCCACTACTGCTGATAGCGAACGCGATGACGCGACTCCCCTCTGGATCGCGGTGTCTGTACGTCTGCTCGGTTGTGTGAGAGACCGCGGCTTGAACCGCCAAGCTGATGCATGCGATCGCACTGTGGTGACAGAAATGGGGAGCCGAATGCAGAGATGAGATGAGATGGAATGGATTACGGTTGTCTGCGCGTAGCTGGACGCGTCGCGAGGCTGGCAAGAGATGAAGTGTGGCGGTGCGCAACCCCGCGACCGGCGTCGGCGTTTGAGCCCCACGCGATCTTTTTCATCCCTCCCATGCGCTGGTCCAATATTTTTTGCGCGACGACATAACAAGACATCACGTCAAGCCCCAGGCGCTCCGTAGTCCAATATGACTACTCACATCAAGATCCCCTGCTCGTCCGCCAATATCGGCCCCGGCTTTGACGTCATTGGCCTTGCCCTCAACCTCTATCTCGAACTCGAGGTCACAGTCACCAAGAAGGAGAAATCAGAGCACTCGCTCAACTGCAAAATAACATATGAAGGCGTAGGCGCCGAAGATGTCCCGCTCGCCGCGCAAGACAACCTCATCACGCGAACCGCTGTATACGTGCTCCGCTGCCATGGCGTTCGCGACTTCCCTTCGGAAACACACGTCCACGTCAAGAACCCGATACCACTGGGACGCGGACTGGGCTCTTCGGCTGCGGCTATTGTAGGAGGTGTATACCTGGCGAATGAGGTCGGAAACCTTGGGCTATCAAGAGCGCGCATGCTCGACTACTGCCTGATGGAAGAGCGTCACCCCGACAATGTCGCAGCAGCGCTATATGGAGGCTTTGTCGGCACCTACCTCAACGAACTGTCGCCCGAAGACACCGAGCGCCTCGAAATCCCCCTCAGCGAAGTCCTCCCGCAGCCTGCAGGTGGTGTAGACACGGGTCTGCGGCCACCCGAGCCTCCCCTCAACATCGGACACTACACCAAGTTTGCTTGGTCGCCCGCTATCAAGTGCATATGCGTCATCCCACAATTCGAGGTCTCGACAGCCAAGGCGCGTGCGGTACTGCCTGAGTCGTATTCGCGCAAAGATGCCATCTTCAACATGCAGCGACTGGCTGTCCTGACCACCGCACTCGGTCAAGCCACACCAGACCCCGACATGATCTACACAGCTATGCAAGACAAGCTCCACCAACCCTACCGTCGCGGCCTCATCCCCGGTCTTACCGAAATCCTCCAATCCGTTACCCCACAATCACACCCCGGCCTGCTGGGCATCTGTCTCTCAGGCGCCGGCCCGACCATACTCGCACTCGCGACCGAGAACTTCGACAAGATCGCAGAACATCTGCTACAGGAGTTCAAGAAGGAAGGCATAACATGCGACTGGAAGCTCCTTGAGCCGGCCGAGGAAGGCACCACTGTGACACGCCCTTCCAGCACCTCACAGCCAGCTGGCGAGGCGCTGACATACGCATCATCGGGTGTGAGCATCGACGCGGGCAACCAGCTGGTTAAGCAGATCAAGGCGTTGACTGCTAGCACAAAGCGCCCTGGAGCCGATGGCAAGATCGGTGGATTTGGTGGGCTGCTCGACCTGCAAGCGGCTGGCTACACTGAGGCACCTATACTGGTGGGCGCTATCGACGGTATCGGCACGAAAGTCAAGATTGCCTTCGAGATGGGTAAGCACGATACTGTCGGTATCGATCTCGTCGCGATGAACGTGAACGATCTCGTCGTACAAGGCGCCGAGCCTCTGAT